CTGGACCGTGGATCGGAGTTCGATCTGCACGGTCCAGAACGCAGGCCGTGGGCTTTCAGTCCTGGCCCAGCGCTACTTAAGCTGGGCCATTGCCCAGTTCGGACACAGAAGGTACCAGGAGAAATCCAGCGTTATGCTGGTTCAGGAACTTCGCTGCTGCGCTATTCTGGAGACTCCCTGCTGCGCTATTTCGAGACTGCAGCTACACTGCTCATCGGCAATGAGGCACAGCGCTGGAGGAGTCCAGCGCCGAGGAGGGTAGTGGAGTTAGAGAGAGAGAGAGAGAGAGAGAGAGAGAGAGAGAGAGAGAGAGAGAGAGAGATACGAGTTCACTCTCAATTAGCTATGGCGCCTTCAGTGCCCAAACATCTCACTGTTCACATACACTGGATCACCCTGGACATCCCACACGCATCACTTCAACACTCGAACACACACACACACTCACCACTAACTACAGCTATGGAAGCTGTCGCTGCATCTAACCTATCGCTATACTAACTCCCTCTCTCTTGCCCACTGCGTCCTCCGGGCTCATCTGCAAACCTCCTTGCACAAGTCGTTGTGGCAGCGCTTCCGCATGGCTCACGCAGGAATGAATGAATGGCTGGCCGCTGCCTCTTGATTTATACTTCAGAAACTCGTTGGTCTGCCCTTTGCCATCGGCCCATGGTGCTTACAGTCCCCCTGTGGTACTTGCTGAACTGGGACTGACTGGACCTTCTGCTGACTGACTGTGGACTCACCGCCATCCTACCCACGTTGTACTGCCGTTGCACTGTGGTTTAGTCCACCACTTGCCTCGCCACTTGACCACTTGCCCACTTGCCTACCTTCTAGAAGGTCTACAGCTAGGCTTCCAGAACTCACTAACACTTCTACGCTACAGATCTACAGATCGAACCCCTGCTGCCTATGGACCTACGACAGACCTACCAGCTGTCTACGAATACACAGGTCACAGGTTCAACTCTCGGGGTCCACATAGATACTGTACATGGGTAAGGTGAGGTCTAGGGATCGAACCCTGGGCACTGCATCCGCTACTGCTAAAGGTGAAAACTGTTTCACTCCCGCCGTCCTAAATTCGAGGTCCTCCGAGAACATCTCAGTCCAAGGCGGGACCTTTACCTTTCTTGTCACGCTCATAGGCTCTGACTATGTCGTGAGCAGTCTGTAGAAGTTTTGCTTTCGTGAACCAGCGGTCGTCTTCCGGTTCCTGATAGGCAAACCGGACTTTATACTGTTTTTGGGGACGACCTCTACCTCCTGTCCTAAACACATCCTCTTCTACAATGCCCTCTATGTCATATCTCCCATCCATATCCGGTGGGATCATGGATCTCCTGGAAGGGAACTGTTGACTAGTGATACACGGCAGCAGCTTTGAAGCATGAAACATAGGGTATGTGTGGAGGTGTGCTGGAATCTCAATGCTATAGGACGGTCCATCCTCTCCGCCCTTGACTTCTAGAACCGGACACGGTCCTCTATATGCAGGCAGTAACTTCTGCGAGATGTTTTCTTCCGGTGCAAACTTCTTTGCCTTGACCCAGACTAAATCGCCTACTTGAAACTGTGATGGGCGACGGTGCTTGTTAGCCTGCTCTATCATTCTGTGCTGGGCCTTCCGTAGGTTCTCAACAACAGTGGCTAATTCCCTTTCGTGCTGTATCACAAACTCCCTGGTACCGGGCGGTAATCTGTGAATCTGATCCCGGTTTAGTCCTTCAAACGGTCTGCACGGTCTAAAGGACTTGTGCAACTCATTGGGAGTGCGGCAGGTGGATAGG